GATGCGAACTCATTGGGACCAATGAGCATGCTGAGAGGTTGGTACCTTTGAGCTGGATGTTGATAGTGTTGTCTCCCACCAGGTAGCCGCACGGCAGCAGCTCAGGCGTGTTGGCGGCACTGGGGCTGCTGGGTCGATGGATTTCTCCAATGTTGTATCCCTGCACGCTGTCTGAGCTCAAGCCTAGCTGGCTCACTGGATCCACATGGGTGATGTACTCCTGTCAGAGATAAAGCATTTAGCAGCTTTCTAAGGACTGAAATGTTTCTGAATGAGAATGTTTTGTCCAAAAACATGAAAGTGAATGGAAGGAAATTATGTTTATACAATATAGGAAGTATAAATGTATCAAATACAGCCAACGATGTTTTGTCTCTATCCGATTCTTAACCATTTTCCTGTCTTTACCTTGAAAAGGCGTCGGACTACTCCATCCAGGACATCCCACTTAGTTTTGCCACTAACACCGATGCAACCAATAAGAAAATGTCGAGGTCGAGCCTCCTGTGATGGAAAAATTAAAAAAGTTGAATATACCAAAAGCCTACAGATAAAATTAAAACCTAAAAACAACCAGAAAAGCGTTTGTTACATTAGTCTCACCTCTCCCCACTTGCTGTCTTCATCCAAGCTAACGACAATCCTCACGTGCCGCCCCTCCTTCCTCCCTCCTTCTCCGCCCGTGTCATCCAGCAACATGTCTGACCGGAAGACAACGTTACATGTGATTTCTCCATTGTCAGTGTTACACATTAAAACATTTCATTGTTAAATACACTGGAGTAATGTATCACATTCCCCAACTTTCGTTTTGGATAAACCCTGGTCGGTATTTAATGTAAATCTATCCTGAACTGTGCAGGTCTCGTCTTACCCAGGCTGGTGGACTCACTGGTCGTGAGGTTGAGGCCATGTTGGGAGAGCCCTGGTGCAGGCCCTGGGGTGTGGCCGTGTGTATGAGGGGGAGGAGAAGATGAGATGGAGGCCTGGGAGCCCGTCCTGCTGCCCTGGTTCTCCAGCTTCAGACGGTCATTCTCCGCCTTGAGCTTCTCAATGTCCACCTGCAGATAAACATCCGAAAATAATCTTTTTAAGTACATGTATGTATTCACCCTTCCCTCATGTCAATTAAACTGTTAGCATTAAAAATGTATTAAGCTTAACATCAGAGATCAATAACGCTTCAGTCACATGAGTACAGCAACAATTATATGCAATCAGACATTCAATGTTTACATCCATCTCAATGTGAAGCATACTCAGTAAGCTCAGTCTGAAATTTGCAGACCTGCATGCGGTTCATGGCCTCGCGGAGTTGATCAAGCTGATGTGCAGAGCTAAGAGCCTCCAGGCGGATGTCAGTTAGTTTCATCTCCTTCTCTCTGAGCTCACTGCGCAGCTGCATCACCGTCTCAGCCTCGCTGTCCAAACACTCCGACAATCTGTATGCGCACACAAGGCAATGCATTTTGAAGCATTAACATAGTGCAATTTGAGCAGTTTGGTTGTTTTTTGTCACATGCAGATGTTGAGCTAGTACACACAGTGTGTTGGAGTGCGTGTTCCTGAGCATGTGGCCTGTGGCCGAGGTGCCATTGTGAGGCAGCTTGGGAGAGGATGGCAATGACGAGTCCGTCATCTCCTCGATGTCAGAGTGAGAGGAGGCCGACTTCGGAGATTTCTTCTTGCTGAATGCTTGTTTGAAGGAACTTCGCAACTGCAGGAAACAAAAAGAAGAAAGAAAGCAAGGCGATGAACAGGTGAGGTTATTAGAAAAGCTGTTGAGAGGGGAAGTAGTGGGAAAACTGCAAGTGAGTCACAGGGAGAAGAAATAGGGGGAAACTGTCTTATGACTGACTCAGAGCTACAGCCCCAAACACAGTGTAATGTGTTATGTTTACACTCTTATGTAAACATATTTGTTTTCTTCTTCTTCATGTTAGTAATTTATTTAAGGTGTTTTGGCAATCTCCTACAAGAACCACAAGCATTATGGTTCTTCTGACATTTTCGGGTGAATTTTTCCTTAAAGAGCCAGCTCAAGCGTCATGAGAGCAGCTTTCAGGGAGAAGTAGTGTTAGAAAGGAGCAGAAAGGCACTACAGTGACAGCGAAGTGCAGGAAAGGAAGAAGAGGGCCGATGTTAGTAACCTATAAAAAGTGCAGGGGTTAGGCTTCTTTCCTTTCATTTCACATAGCGTACCATTCTTACCTCATACACCTGCCACATGAAGCGAAGCACAGGAAGACAGAGAGACAAAACAGCACATGTTCATATGGGTTTGGGGGTGATAATGTGTTATGGTGGGACAAACAGATTAAACTAGAGATGCCTACAGGACTAGAGATTTTATTTGACTTCCAGGCAGCTGCAAGCTAATTCTACATCATAGCCACCATGAAGCGAGGAGTCTTTCATGATCCATTATATACTCTCCAACACACGCTGCCCCCATGCACTCAACACATCACTCACTGTATGAGCAGCACCTGCATGGAGGAGGCTCCTGTGGGGTCTCATCTATCCAAGCAGTGGTATTTTATTATCACTGTGACCTAAGGCAGGAAACTCTAGAGGATCTGATGTCTAAAAGTGCTACATTGCTCTTCCTGACATTTGACAACATCTGGATTGACAAGCACAGGTGGCCAAACACATTGTTTCAGTCAACCAGGAGGAAGAGAGGGAGGAAGAAAAGTTTCGTACTTCATCATCTCTGACTTGTCCTCCGGTGCACAAAAAAGTCTTTCAACAACAACAACAAAAAAATTTTAAGTGTCATATTTGTTGTATGATCACTAATAAAAATTTTTTTAAAAAACACTAATGACTCAACATTGGGACAACACTCTATCCAGAAAGCATTACTACATAATTTACAGGTCAAAAGACAACTACTACATTTAGCTAAATATCAAGGTAACACGCTGATGTTTTCTGATCTCTAAAATAACCAGTCAAATCCATCATTACTTGCTTTTCAACAACACTGAGCCTATGAAAATACTGTTTGTAATCACCTTCTCCCCAGTCAAAGAACGCTAAAGAGGAGAAACACAAAGATGTGTCACCCACACAAATATGAAAATGCAGATACACAAGACAAAAAAAAAAGTTTAAAAATGGCTGCTTGTTGTCACACAGTGCAATCACCTCCTTGTACATAATCTATTTAAACTGCTGGCTTCTTACCCAGTTCTTTTTGTTCTTCTTTTTGTTTTTAGCGTCAGCATCCATGTTGGAGCCCACACTCGAGTGGCTGGTCGCGCTGGCAACACTGCTGACGCTGTCGGAGGAGTGCTGTCTCTTGATGCGCAGATCTGGCTGCTGGCTCTGTTGCTGCTGCTGCTGCTGTGGACTGCCATTACTGCCAGCTGGGGAGACAGAGGATGGGGAAAAGATGTATGGCATTACAATGTGTCCCATGATGACCTTTCTCCCAGACATGTCTATACAGAGCCTCTATACTAGAGTGCCTTTGCATGATTCCCAGTTAATAATCCTGATATTATTGGCACAAATTCAAATTGCTGTACTGAGGCGTTACTGTTATTTTCTGCACCTGTGCGATCCCCTTTAGGTGTAAGTTCAGGTGTGTTAATGACTCCATTGATGGCAGCCTGAGCAACAGCGTTCTGCTTTTTCAGAAGCTCGATGGTCTTCCTCAACTCATTCAGCTCGGAGTCCTGTACAGAAAAAACATGATGATCAACCTAACAATCATCTACAGAGACTTTGTGCACAGTAGTTTTCTTTCAAACATCAGAAACCAAACATTTTTTTCTTTTTTTCTTTTCTGTTTTTACCTTCTGCTCGGCCGTCAAGGTGAGACTCTTCAGCCTTATGGTCATGTTGCCCAGAGACTGTTCAAACGCTGCCACCAGGTGAGCCTGACAAGAAACAATCAAATTGCATCTTAACAACTCCTTACATAACATGGCAAATATACAAATACACAAATTTTAGCTAACTTCAGAGAGCTAAGTGGTTCGTGTATAAAGAATTGTATCCCAAGTCTGTTTTATAATATCCTGTAAGTGTATGAAACAATCTTGATTTAATAAACAGAGACAATAAGAAAATGAACGGCCTACTTTTTGGATGAACGGAAAAAAGTGAGACACGTTAACCTTGAGGCTAAAGCCCAAACATGTTAGTCAATCCATCTTCACACCAAAATGAAAACATAACCAAACCCAAATAATATACTAACCAATAATGTCCTGGGAAAAAATATTATCTTCTGGAGAGGGCACATTACGAGTACAACTATGACAAAACTGTTCCAAAAACAATCCTTGGATCCTTGGCTCATTCAAGGCCACAGACAGTCAACGATTGGTCAGACCTAGTTTAACTCTAGGTGGTGGTTTTTTTTGTTTTTTTACACGACCTTCTGAGAAAGAGGTAACTTGGGTATGTGTTCACAGTTCAAAAGAAATACAGACACAGACATGACATGTCAAAGAAAAATAATGTGAGTGCCAAGGATTAAAACTGGAGACAAATTTACAACAAAAGACTTGAACTATTCCTTTTGAGTGACATGGATCATTATGGTGATTTAAACAGTTAGACATGGGTGAACTTGCTCATCCTTCACTATTATGTTCTGGGCTGTGAATATAAATGTTCCGCGGACGCCTGTAGAAATGTGTGTGAGAGTTGAGCACAGTGCTGACTGACATGTGATTCAAGTCGTGACTTTTTAGAGCAGCCTCCAGGGCTTCAAGGTGTGTTCAGATAATTCATCATGCATATAAATACATTTGAACAAAGCCCACCTCCCCAATACCAGCTCCTGTCTGCTCCGTCTGTGCTTATCTTTCAACACTCGTGTGCACTTTGTGTATCCAGGCGTCATCGACAACAAATCTTTACTCCACATCTGGGACAAACCCTCGGCATTGTGCTGGGACTTGACACTGCTGTAATGTAACACCTCTGCCTTGCTTCCATATCTCTAATCCACAGTGAAACTACTAGCAAGCGCCCACTCAGGCTGAAGATTACCAGCTGAGCGTGGCAGGACTTGTGCAATACAGGAGCAGGGTTGGCAGAAATGATCATGTCTAGAGATGCTTAAAGAGATGTTCTGATCATTCTACCAGTTGTAAAATGATACCTGTAAGAGATATCCCCTCAGTCTGAATAAGTGTTTCTGCCTGTATTTGGAAAATGTTCAGGAATTTGAGAAAACGCTGGCATTTTAAAGAGCTCAATATGTTTGTTAAAACTTCTCTAATTAGCAGTTAGAAATGAGCATATATGGAAATTATTTGACATATAATGGCTTATTTAGCTTAATCTTTGGAAAATAAAAACTATATACTATATATAATAAAAGGGTTTTTTTAACCCCTTTGATAGTTTTGACAGATGTTCTTCAACAGCTTGGGTTTGCATGTTCTTAAGTGCTTGAGGCCTTACATTTGCACTCAGTTGTGTTGTCAAGGCTGAAACTTTTTCCTGGGAGGCATCCAACTCCCGCCGAAGCTTGCGAATCTGAGGATTTACAAAAAAAAAAACGCCATGACATCAAAAGGTGCCAAAACAAAAGCATACACACATAGATTTAAATACATGCATGCCTTCATGGAGCATGTATGTAACGCTAAGCACATAAATGCATCCAGCATCAAAAGAGTCAGGCTCCCAGATTGAAGCTCTGAAGCTGTGATTGAAGTTCAGGTTCAGCGGTGAAATGGCAAAAAGCATAAAAGAGCACACGCAGGTGTTCACAGGAACAAGAGCTTGTTACAGGGTCAGTCACAATACAGCTACACGTGTATCTGGATCCAACTGTAAAAACATCCCCGTGTTCCAACAAGTCCAGTGGCTGTGTGCGGAAAATTAAAGAGGAGAGAAGTGCTGTGGGCGGGCTGATGCTTACCTCCGACTGAGACTTTTCCTCATTCTGTAAAACAAACACCAGAAGATAAGAAAACCATTAGAGGGCACCACTGACTGAATTGAGACAGACTTTAATTAAAAAGCAGAGCAGAGTGGAGGTTGGAGCACCCTCTCGTCTGATTTGTTAGCTCCATGGATATGAGCTTTATAAACTGTGGAAGATATTGTCTGGCGTAATATGTCTGGAAAGTAGAGAAATCCTCCTAAAGGCATTTCACTGAGAGATTCATTGTCTTGACAGGCTACACATGGAACAATAGTAAGAAAAGACAGGTAGTCAAATATGTACAGAGTGAGAGCATGCAAAACAAACGCTCGCACGAACACAACACACCCTGCTGCCGTTCACCAAAACAGCGAAACACGCAACACCCACATTTATGTGTAAACACACTGCAACGGAAAGATCTTTCTTAGCAAGAGGTCAGTGTATTGTTGGATCAAAACTGGCCTCCCTGAGGCTAAAATTTAATACGACTATGAAGCCGTCTTATGCCATTTCCAACCAATGACAGCGACGTAGCAAATGCCTCAGTTTTCCATGAATTTTGCATCTTCTGATGAAGATTAGATATAAGATTTAATATGAAGCTTTTAAATACGAAATTACATTTATAGAACTTTGCAGTGTGATCAACAGTCTTTCAGCATAGCTCCTGAACTTGAGCAGGAGAGCTGATAAGCCATGATTTTTCCATCTGTCCACTTTCCAGCTCCTGATCGGAGCAGCAGCACGCAACAGCTTTTATCATCTAATCTGTGCACAGAGGTGTGTGAGCACATCTGTGTTGTGGCACGTGGCATCTGTCCACATACGCAAACTGAGCTGTCAATTGCACGCAAACACTAACACACACACGCACACACACGAAAGGCTTATCCTAGATACGCAAACAGCAGTCTGTCTTGGAAACGCAGACAAAACATATCATGTATTTTCTCTGTGGTGACACATAAGCTCTTCAAATGGGAATATAATTTAGTTAGGCAAAATGTTTGTGTGCTTTTAAGGACAAGCAATAAATAGGATAAAAGAAATTTCATATCAGTGTGATTTCTAACCTGGAGACCTTTAAACTAAACTGCAAATGAATCTCTGAAATCAATCAAGCACCATTACCTCGCAATCTACACTCAGAAAAGAAAAAAAAAAAAGAGTTCCACATAATCAGATAGTTAACAGCTGTATTCAACACTCAGACCACAAGAAAAACAACAAAGACTTTCTGCACCCTACGGCCCTGCTCCGTCTCATCCCTACCGTTAGTTGCCACGATGCGACAGCGCCTGTCAAGGATAAAGTTGCCATCATTTTGCTTCCAGTCTCTTCCCCTCTGTGATTCTGAACCTGCGACTCTTTATCTCAAAAAGAACCAGCCAGTGTCTGAGAGTTTCTCTGCTACACCTGCCCAGGTGAGGAAACTCACACAGGGAGGAGGAGCCACACTGTGAAGCACAAACCTCTGACTGGCTACAGTGCATACTCGTGGGCTGTCCCGTGTGACTTCAAACAGCCAATTTCTCACAGGATCTTTGAGTTACATATCTGCGCGGATTAGGGGGTAAATTCACCAATTCATGTAGTCAGTATATCATAACTGCGCTGACAAAAGAACAAACTGGTTTCTCCAGTTTCCATGTGAATTGTGGTGCTGCTGCAATACCACAATACCTGCTGCTTTGCAAAGACTGCCTTAAATGAGATTTTGCCTTTTAGATACCATCACAAAAGTGCACGCTTTTTCAGTAGCAGTTATATTGAAATGTTTTTCTTATTCTTTATTTACCCAAAAATAATGTATCCAGAAAAAATGCACTGCTTCTCTTTTGCATCACTTTAAAAATGTAGTTTTTATTCAGAACCTCAGTCATATATGACTAACTCTGTTTAACTTGGCAGTTTCTGAACTCACCGTGGAGTAAATGGAAGAAGTGCTGGAGACCAGAGACAGAGATGATCCGTGAACTGAAAAGACAAAATGTGAAAGCAGTGATTAGAAATTACATCTGTAGACACAAGCACCTTCATTATCAGCAGACCTCCCACACTCCCCTCACTAACCACCCACTCTTTTCCAACACTGCCCACCCAGCACGGTTCCTCCCAGTCTTCCCAGCTCCTGCCCACCTCCTCATAAATGACATAATGACTGCCGAGATAAAGAACTCCTACATGCAGCAGTCAGACTGTGGCGCAACTAATGACTCAACTGGTAATAACACATCAGAGGCAGGGAAACAACACCAGCACTGTTTCCTGGCTGTGAGCAGATCAGAAAGGATCAGCAGTGTGATGTCATCAACCGCACCGAGAGGTTGTGCCGATCCCAGCTGATTTATTAGTTCATAAATAGCCTTGTACGTATGAGATGTGAGCTCACAGAGGACTCACTTTTATCTTGATTTGGTCTAGACAGAATCATGTGCTGGAAGCTACATGAAAAGGTGAACTGCACTTTAGTTTTAGATCATCATTATTAGTTTACATCTTTTTCTAACTACTAATATCCATTATTCTTCACAGAAGTTGTTTGATTAAGGACGCCGGTAGCGCTGAAGGTTTTATGAGTGCAAATTCCCAGTAAGTCTCTTTTAGCCTGCAGATGCAGGAAGAGGATCAGAACATACAATGATAAAATGAGGAGGCTTTTGGGCGGAGGGGATGGAGTGAAACTGTATAATGGTGTCGCTCTTAAAAAAAGGACAGGTCCGACAAAGTGTTTTGAGTATAATGTGACTTTTGTCCTGTCACTCAAAGAACAGTCGGGTAACTCTACACTTGGGTAATACGCACATGTACACACACACACACACACACACACTCTTATCCTCACAGGCCTGCACACTGCAAACCAACACACAAACACACAGCAAGAGTGTGTGAGATGGAGAAAGTTATGTCTGAGTAATCTTGAATGTCACCACATATCCCTCACACCTCACTGTGAACCCTGTCATTATCTCCACTAGTAAAAGAGAGGACAGACTCGTAGAGCTGGAAAGAACTGAGGCAGATATGCTATCGGGAATGGCGGTGTCTTAATAATAAGTTTGCAGCGAAGTAACTGTGCGTGCACATTCCACCAAACTCTTAAAAAAAACAATCAGGTGTGCGTGACTTTCAAAATTAAGGCAGCTTTGAAACTGTGTACACGAGAGAGGACACGACTAACCGGTGACCTTAGTCTCTTAGCAAAAGAAAGCCTCAAACATGTGTTTGCTTAGAAATGTAACCGTGTTCTGGAGGAAGATACCGGATGGCAAAAGGTGAAATCATGAACATGTCTGGTATGGCTGACAAAAGATGTTTATCAGAGTTTGATATTTAAAAAAAAAAAATAAGAAAAAAAGGTTTCAATGTGGAATTTAGAAGAACACATACAATCAGCTGTTTCACAAAACGTGTTACCAGATTTGATGTCTTTGCTCATGGCTTTGTCCTCTATATTTACACACTGCCTTCACTGTGGAGGACACACATGCCTTTGTATTCCTTTACAGTTTTGGGTGTGAAACCCGCCTGTGATGTTCATCTGTGCTTTCAAGTTTTACGTCAGCATCCTATAACCTAAAACCAACCAGGATGACTGTGACAAATTTGAGAGGAGTATAAATTTCTGCACTTTTTTTAAACTATAAAATGTTTCACTTTACCTCCTAGCATGTCTTTCAGCTGCATTATAATAGGCTGTGTGTTTATTATGGTTTACTGAAATCCAAGTTCACAGCAAACTACTGTTTTAACATCACTGAATGCTGGGTTTTTCCCCCATTGAGAGAACAAAATACTGTGCTTCCTTCACTCTCCCTTCTTCTCCCCCCCCCTAAATCAAAGTGCTGTTTCTATGGCTCAGAGGATTGGGATGGCTCCAGCAGAGAAACCTCTCCTGAGTGGGGAGTCTGCCCGCTGGTGGGAAAAGCACTGGTGGGTACTTTTCCCAATAAACAAGCTTATGAAAAAAACAAAGCCCCACTAAAGCTGATTATGGATTTCTAAGGGGGATAAAGGGCTTTTCTTTGAGGAGGGGTTGTAATCTGCCCTAATGTTCTCTAAACAAATGGAATAATAATTCTTTTGGCATGAGGACGTGAAATAAGGAAGCTGAGGCTTCACAGTCACAGAGCGATGGGGGGGCATGCAGTTCTTAGAAAAGGATTACACCTAATTACAGATTTCACCAAACATCTGAGGAAAACGTGGCCAGGACTCACACGGAGCCACCGAATATTCACCAAACCACCACATCCAGCTTTTTCCCGTCTCCTCCTACCTTCTTCGAAGCCATCCCTGAAGGATCCCGATCTGCTCATGGTGCGTGTCTTCTCGTCAAGCGACATGCAGGAGTTTCTCAGACGGTTGTCACAGCAAGGGTCGATAGGGGCATCCTGATTGGTCAGGCTGTTGTTGCGCAGACCACCAAGGTTAATCTGAGCTGATGAGGTCGGGCTTGATGCTGTGAAAATGATATACGGCAATGTAAAAGTTGTCAAGCATTACATTTCTTTGTTACTCATATGTTTATAAAATGTTATAAAATTGTGACAAAGGACTAAGGTAACATTGTCAGATGTGGAGACATACCGAGTTGTCCAAAGTTGAAGCGTGTTCCAGAGGGGGAGGTGAGGCTGGAGCCGGGAGAGAACGGAGAATTGCTGGCCGAGTCCTGTAGGCCACTGGTGGAGTGGGAGCGCAGCCAATCACGGGCCTCCTCGTGGCCTCGCAGCTGTGGTGAGGGACCATACCTACAGGACATCAAAGACAAAAAAGGTCAAACCAGAAGTGAGGACACAGAGCAGAACAGGTCTCCGTTTTTAACGGATGAGTTGATCTTGATTTGGATTTTTTTCCCCAGATACGTCACAATCAGTGAGAGGATTTCTTTCTTTTTTTTGCTGAAGCAAACTGATTAATGGCTTGGATTTAGCGACAGATGAATCAGATGCTGAAACAATTTAAGACAACAATGTGCCAACACTGACCGACTTCCAGCTGTGAGAAACATAAACTAGCAGGGAAAAAAAAAAAAGCAGAGCAGAAGCCAAAGAAAATTTGAGGCCCACAATCAAGTGTGCTGCATCGAAGCACAGTGACAGATCTGTACGGGGGACAACGCGACATGCCTCTGCACAGAAGCACAACACAACAACAAATGTGCCAAGTGCTAAATTAAAAAGAAAAGCATTCCTGAAAGCGTGACAACAAGCCTCGAAGACTGAATGTGGACGCAGAACAACAAAAAGAAAGGCGGAGGACAATTTAGTGAACCAGTGTGCAAAAGTGCAACGTGACCAGCGGGGGAGTGAATTCAGTACCTGAGTCCCTTCTTAGGCAGAGTGTTTCTACCACAGTGTGGCCCGCTGTGGGAGAGAAACACTTCAGAAGAGGAAAACAAAGGAAGCAAGGAGGCAAGGAAACATGTGTGGCTGCATCTCTCAACAACTACCAAATTATATTATTTCTAGACTGCAAAAAACATCCATCTTTACATGTTGAGTCATCTTTTTAAAAATTTTTTGGACACATTTTTTCAGTTTTTCTGTGGAAAAGAGTTTAAAGACTCAGAAAGATAAATAAAAATAATGATCTGAGATTGATATTTTTGCAGTGAAAACTCAAACACAACCTAAGCTCATGCTGGCATCTCTGTACTCTACCACAAGGTGGCGATAAGTGAACAGTCATAACAGACTAGAAGCTGTCTGCCAAACAAAAACACTGAAGCTGCCAACATCCACACAGACACTCTCACAAATGCACTCTGACACACAACCATTCACACAGTAGCTTAAAAAAAGGTCATAAAAACAATATCCACACAAACCACCACACAGAGCGACACATTTCAAACTAAAACCACAAAATACTAACTAACTACCGCACAGAGGGACTCTCTGAGGTTATTGGTGGTGCTCTCTGTGTGACAGCAGGTGGTGGTTTAGTAGGTAAATCCACAGCTGTTCCACCAGAAGCCTAGCACTTGCATACAGGCACATTTTACCTGTCCTGCCTCCGAGGTAGGGTGTTTCGGCTGAATATAGGGCTAGCAGAGGGGGAGGAGAGGGGACTGATGGAAGACAGGAAGGGGGAAAAAAACGCACAACAGACACAGAGAAAGAAAGTTTTTAGAAAATAACGCAAATGAAGAAATGTTTAAGAACAGATCAAGTCCATGACGCTTCACCAGCGAAGCTAATAAGAAAACTCAGCGAGGGTGATGTCACCTCCTTAAAGCTTGAACTTCAGATGCTATTAAGTTTCCTCTATGTCATTCCTGTCACATTACAAAGTCAACCTGTCAGGATGGAATCTGCTACAATGACCACAATTACTGTATAATCAGCTGAGGGCGCCACGGGATTACGTTTCTGCTCGAGTGCAGACAGAATGACAAACAAGTGACAACTCACCATGGTGGATGCTTTATACATCATTTTGATTCTGAGTTCTTTAAAAGGTAGCTGATGTCAAGTCAACAGAATGTTGGACACAATAGATATTAGAATTAAAGACTTCAAGTGTTCACTAGAATTAAGCATTATACAAACCATTTTTTACTTAACCTACGCTTTCATATGTAAGGAGCTTTTTATTTGCTTCATTAGGCCATGACCATTTTACATGAGGCATGCATTTCTTATTACCCTTCAACTGCTGTTTGCAGCTACAGTGGTCATTCATTAATAGCTGGATTCAGCTGGATTGTATTATTTTACTACAATTACTGTCTTATTTGTCCTTTTAACTAACAACTCTTTTTAGCTGTTGCTATCTTAGCTTTTAGAAACACAATGTCATAATGAGGCACTGATCTGACTGAGAAACTGAGGCACACTGCAAGGTCATGAGATAACTAACCTGCTTTACTGTCTTTTTTAACATAATGTACCAAAAGAACATTACAACTCAAAACTAGTCAACACCATAAACATTAGTAAAGTGCTTACAGAGGTAAGAGTTAAGAGGACTTCTACACAATCCGACTTTTTTTCTCCTCAGGTGAACTGTCATTAATGTGAAATCTTCTGCAAAAATCAAACTGATGAATGTAAAATATTAAAGGGCTCAATGTTTGATCATTCGTAGGAAATGTGTGTTCTAACCTTTCAGACATGCCGGTCTTGACACTGCCGGTGCGACCCAGAGCGGACAGCGTGTCCTCCCTGTGGGTCCCGTGGCCGCCACCTCCGGCGCTGCCTAGGCTCATGTCGATGGACTCGCTGCTCGTGTGCATGCTGCTGACAGAAGGGAAACCCACGCTTCCAGTTCCACCGTGTCCACCCAGGGTGCTCTCCCTGCTCTGCACAGAGGAGCTGCTCAGGGTGGTTCCCCACGTCAGGCTGTTGGAGGGTCCGGTGGAGGAGTACACAGAGCCAGGGCTGGAGGCCTGAGGATGATCAAAAATTTGATTTAACATAAATAAAAATTTTTTTTTTAAAATCAGCCTATATTTTGAAGTGATTATTTTGTGATGTGCAGCAATAAGATAGAGCACTGACACAGTCCAATTAAACACTTGCTGATTTACACATCTTGCAGTCACAGAGTAAGATTATCATATTGGAAGACATGTTTCTGGCCTAATGGGTTAACCTTAGTTAACCCTGAGCTGATGAGGGAAAAATATGTTGATATTGACCTTCTTCTAGGTCTATATTTTATCCCTACAAACTAGCATTTGGCTCTTTAACTGCCAAAAGATCGACTGTGTTAGCCGTGTTTTTACTGACTGGCCTGTTTTGGCCCAGGACAATGCTTATGGGCTCAAAATGTGGTCATAAATATTTTGTACTTGTAAAAAAGATTTGTATGTGTAAAAAGAATTTGTGTGTGCGTAAAAAAGATTTGTATGTGTAAAAAAGATTTGTGTGTGCGTAAAAAAGATTTGTATGTGTAAAAAAGATTTGTGTGTGCGTAAAAAAGATTTGT